TATGTTTTAGCAAATGTCGAAACAAGAGTCCTTTACTTACACAGAAATGAAGTTACAGAGAAATCAAGTTACATCAAAGTGACGTGGAGACCTCCGTCCAAGTAAACGGTAGCTCGGAGTCTCCCGGGCGGGGCCCGTTGGAGTATTTTATAGTACTCAGGGCTTTGTTCATCATACGCTTCCACTTGGGTGGCACGTGGCCTCCCTTCCCCAAACATGACGTGGCCACAGGGCCTCGAACCGCCTCTCTGTGCTCATGGCTCTACTTCGGACATGTCGTCCGTCACCTTAAAGGCTTACTCTTTAAGCTGAGGGGTGCTAGCGGGTGACCTCATGTCTCAAGAACACACGTGCCTAAGTATTCATATTAGTGGATACTTCCCAGTGGAATGCGTCATGATCAAAGCTCCTATAGAATTTTAAAAAGAATGATTACAATCATTAGTTACAATCATTACAGTTACACTAATTATAGTTACACTAATTACAGTTACAATCATTACAGTTACAATAATCAGTTACAATCATTACAGTTACAATCATTACAGTTACAATCATTACAGAAGCACAAAATCACGGACCGTGCCTTGTGTTGTCAAGGTCTGCAGCTCAGTTCCCAAATTGATCGATATCAGTGCCAAGAGAAAAGGAGAGAAATAATGACGAAAAAAGAAGAAAAGTGCAAAACTGAGTCAAATTATAAAAAATAGGCATGAGAAGATAAAATAGCAAAATGAAAATCTACTAACCCAGCAGTGTCCTACTTGCAAGGCCTCAAGGGCTACAACTACAACCTTGCGGTTGGTTACGGACAGTATTTACAGTACTCGGACGATCCACACCAAAATTTCCCGTGTTGATATCGGCAGTTTGTCCAGCTACTTTTAACAGGACGGGGAGGGGGAGCAGGTGGAATGGAACCAAATGTGATATCAGGCCGTACCACGTAAGACGCAGGGAAACACATTGGTGTGACTTTGAATTTCGGAATTTGATAGAAAAGAAATTAAATCAATGCAAGGAACTTTCCCTTTTTAGTAATAACTTTTCGCGAGCCACAATAATCGGCACCACAGGTCGCAGTCGGCCCGCGACAACCCTGCACTCAACTCCAGAAGTGCAATGAAGTTGAAAGTCAAAATCTTAAGAATGTTAATAATAATAATAATAATAATAATAATAATAATAATAATAATAATTAGTGCTGCTAAAATAGCAAGTACTTTCTCGCCAGTACTTTGACACAAAATTACGCGAAAAGTACTCAAATTTTCTAAACATTATACAGAATCGTATTTCAAAATCTATCTTAAAGGAACAGATTTTATTAAGGGAAAACAACTTTATAATTGTAGTTGTAGGAAGACGCCAAAAAAATTATTTTGGCAAATTCCAGAAAATTAAAGTTTTAAACGAAAATGAGACCTGCGCCATTGTCTTAAACGACCTTCGCATTGTCTTAAATGTTTTTATAAAATTTAATAAAAAACGATGGAATTTTTTTAAAATAATAGAGCCCGGAAGTTTGACAAAATGCTTTTTTGTTATTGTTATTATTTGATGACTTTAAACTATAGGAA